CGCACTCTCATCCAGATCATTTATAAAGATATTGAAATGTACTCAGCCCAGAACAGAGCCCTGTGGCACCCCACTAGGCATGTCCCTGCATTCAGATGAAATGCCATTGACAAATACTCTCTGAGTGCAGTTCTCCAACCAGTTACCTGTCCACCTATCCTACAGTCCAGTCCACAGTCCTTTAGTTTACCCATCAGAACATCATGGGGAACCCTGTCAAAAGCTTTACTGAAATTCAGGTAAAAAACATCAGCAGCATTCCCTCGATCTAGTAAGCTTGTCACACGATCAAAAAAGGAAATGAGGTTGGTCTGACAGAACCTGTTGGGGATAAATCCGTGCTGACTTCCCTGGATCACCAAGTTGTCCTTTAGATGCTCACAGATCGATCCCTTTAAAATCTTCCCTGGGAGAGAGGTCAGACTGACTGGCCTGTAGTTTCCTGGGTCATCCCTCCTCCCTTTTTTGAAAACTGGGATAACATCTGCCCTCCTCCAATCACAGGTTACCTGTCATGGGTTCAGTCCTGTTGGGAAGTGAGCCTCCCCCCCCCTTCCCCACAGACACCATTGTGGTGGATTTGTGCACTTCCAAGGGTTTCCTCAGCTTTTCTCAAATCTGCTTTGTTCTGAAGTTTTTGGGAAGATCACTTTAAAGCCTGGATGGCTGCTGTGTGGGTAGGTAAATGCAGATTTTCCCTGATGTAGTCTCTTTAGTGGCCATTTTCTTTCTGTGCCACCAGGGGATTTTTTGGAGTTTTGTTTGTGTGGGTGGGCTTTTTGGTGTTTTTTTTTTTTTTAAACCCTCAACATATTTGCCTGAAATTAAGATGATGCATCCCTTCCCTTGTCTCATCTCATGAAACGATGCTGCAATATATTTTATACAGAATGAGTTCCCTGCTCACATTCCATGAGGGCAGCGTGAGAAGGGAAGAGGACCACATTTTATTAATGTCTGTTATACACTTGCTGCCACAGGGTGTAGTGATGGTATAACAATTCCCCCTTTGGTTCCCTTTATCTACTTCTTGGTCTGAGCAGCCCCTTTTCTTTCTTCTGTCTGTCTGTCTATCCCAGCCATATGTTTAAATGTATATAAATATATGCTGACCAAACCTAGGGAACTGAGGGACCAACTAAAATCCTTTCTTTGTCTGATAATGGTATATGAAAGGCTGTTGGTAACTAACAAACTGCTTTGTTTCATTTTTTAAAGGAAATGGGTAGGTGTCAGGTTTAGGACTTAGAAGGTAAACAGGCAACAGGAATGAGGTAACTTTGCATAAATATAAACAGTAGTTTGTCACAGTAGCCGCCCTCAGCCAGCCTTGCTGGGAAGGTGGGGTAAAAATCTAATGAAATAAATAAGTAAATAAACAAGTAATTGTTCGGTTATACAGACAGGCCCTTAAAAGAAGAAGAAGAGACTGGATTTATACCCCGCCCTTCACTACCTAAGGAGTCTCAGAGCGCCTTACAATCCCTTTCCCTTCCCCTCCCCACAGTAGACACCCTGTGAGGTAGATAGTGCTTAGAGAGCTCTCTCAAGTACTGCCCTTGAGAGAACAGCTCTGAAAGAACTTATGACTGACCCAAGGTCACACCAGCAGCTGCATGTGGAGGAGTGGGGAATCAAGCCCAGTTCACCCATGCTCCTAACTACTGGTGAAGGCAGGAACATTCACACAAGTTTCAATATTTCTTCTTAACCACTAGATAGGGATCACCCCCTCTTTACTAGGAGCTATTTCCCTCAGACTTGATAGGGATCACCTCCCTTTACTAGGAGCTCTTTTCCTCGGGAGGGCCACTCGTCCTACTTCCCTAACTCAGGATCCTTCTTGATCCTCTCCCTCTGCTTAAGTCCACTGTCAACTGTAATTCTTTCTTTTTTTTTTGATAAATCTTTTTATTAATTTTTGGACAAACAAACACAAACTGGAACATATATATACTGTTTATATTGAAGTATAAACAAGTGTTTTCTTTTCTTTTTTCTTTTGATTGGATAAGGTACAGTTGTCAACTGTAATTCTTAACTCACACTCCCGACACTCAACTGTAGAATTCCATTTGACTCCCCTATCACTCAAGGTCCTCAGACCAGGTTAAAGCATTAACCGTGTACTGTCCATTATAGATAGCCACAAGTGTAGGTTGCATTAAAATGAGGTTAGACTGATTCATGGAGGATGTAGTCCGTCAATGGCTACTACCCCTCGTTACTGAAGGGAAACTCCGGATTCAGAAGCAGTAAACCTTTGAATCCCAGTGCTAGGAGTCAGCATCAGGGGAGGGCCTTGGCCTTTATGCCCTCTTTCTTGGCCCTCTAGAGCAATTGGTTGTCCACTGTGTAAAAAAGGATACTGGGCTAGATGGACCACTGGTCTGATCCAGCAACACTCTTATGTTCTTATATTCACTGGATAGATGTGAATCCTAAGCAACATGTTCCACTCGATGAGTATGCTGACAATTTGAAGAGTATGATACAGTACTTAAAGTCTGTGAATATTGCAGAGGATAAAATTATTTTGGTGACACCCCCACCCCTTCATGAAACAGCATGGGAAAAAGAGTGCATCGCCAAAGGTAAGGGAGTGTTTACATCCTGACCTCCCCCTATTTTGTATCGATAAGATTCTTTCTCCTTCAAAAAAGGCTTCCTGCACCAAACATTGTCAGCATTGAATGTGTAGGCCTGGCATGGGGTGCCTGGGAGTCTTGCTGGTTTACCATCTGACCAGCTTGCCAGCTGACTCCCTGATGAGGTAGGCTGAGGCAGTGGCAGAGTGGGCCTTGCATTTCCCCAAACAATTAACCCCCCCCCCCGCTCATATTATTGTGATCCGAATTTGTTCTATTTTGAGTTGTACTTTTTTTTCATTTCTCAACAGGTGAGATATTAAACCGTCACAATGCTACTACTGGGGAGTATGCCAAGGCATGTGTTAAAACAGCCAGAGATTGTGGCATTGAGGTCGTTGATCTGTGGACACTCATGCAAACAAACAATCAGGTATACATTTTCACACTGAAATGACTGCCTTTCCAGAATGTGTGACTGGAAGCAGCAGAAACAGAGGTGTCCTTTCTTGTTTCTGCTGACTACTAAACCTTTTTGTTTCTGCTGACTACTAAAGCTGTGTTTCTGCTGACTACTAAAGCTTCCTTAAACACAGCTTCAGTATTCTTTCTAAAAGACCACCAGAGAGAGCAAATTACAGCATCTTTTAAACTTCCGCTCTAGGACTTCAGCTGTTACCTATCAGATGGACTTCATTTATCGGAGGAAGGAAATAATTTTCTGGCCAACCAGCTTTGGTCTGTCCTGGAACGAAGGACATTGGCACTCCCTGTGCAGCTGCCTTACTGGCGTGATGTTGACCATCTTCATCCGGAAGCCAGTCTCCTAGAGAGTCCACATGAGTAATCAGAGGGACAAAACTTTAGTGTCTTGACAAGACAGCCTCGGTGTGTTTGTATATGGTGCAAAATAAAATGTCGGTTTTACTTAATGAGTTTGATTTTTCTCATTAAACTAGTGACCTTTAATAGTACTTACTGTAATAAACAATTGAGTTGCAACAATTTTTTTCTATTTGGGTGTGCAGCTTTGAGAAACAGTAATCATTAGCTGTTTGTAGAGAACATCTGAGCTATAGTTACTCAACACTGTACAGGATAGTCCCAGGCATCAGCTTCAGGTTGCAGATGGAAATTATATGCCAGTGGAAGCTTTCCTATTATTTAAGAGACACATTTTTGCATAACCCATCGATGCAACTGCTTAAATCTTGCACAAGCACCTCCCCTGCTCTTAAACGTAAGTTCAGCCTCTTGGCTAGTGTGGAATGGGGTGAACATGAGCTTTTCTGATGGGTTCGATTCATGACTTCCAAATCAAGGTGTTCTGGAGATGAGCATGTGCAATACCAGCAACAACAAAAACTCTGAAACTAATATCAAAATAGTTAAAATACCATCCCTATTATTTCCTTATATATCTAAGTAAACCAGTTACAAATAGTATAGGCAAGTGACTATTGTAACAATATAGACATAAATAGAGGATAGTGACTCTGGAGTAGTGAGCAAACCCTGATTAGTTTCTGACCCTTCAATGAAAGAATTCTTTGGACAATAGTAAATTCTGAACCAACAGTCCCTTCACATGCAAACAGAATGCTGAAGCATTCTGTGTAAGTTCTACTTATTGCCAGAAGCTTTGTTTTCAATAAAACGTTAACTCTGTAAAAAATGACTTTATTACATTATACTGGGAGTTTTCACACTCCTCTCACAAAGTTTACTACTATGTATGAAATCTAAAATTTCAAGGTTATCGAAACAAATACCCAAAAGGCACAAATTCAAGTATTAGTGTAACAAGTATCCATGAAAGATGCACATTTGTCACAGGTTTGGTTAATTTCTATCAGATATGAAAATACAAAAGTCTCACAATTAAGGCCATGGGCTCTTTGTACTTATAGTAGACATTTGATCCAGCTCATGTTTTATACAAATCAAACTTATGACATGAGTATACTAAAGCAATTGTAAAAAAATAGCAGTCCAAGCAGAAATACATTATTGTTTTCACTGATATTGTCCATGTGTTTCTACAAACGTGTGCTGTCCAGAGATCAGATTTCTTCCAGCCTACACTGACAGGTGGCGAACGAGGCATTTGTACTCTCTCTGCACCAGTCGCTCTTCCTCCATGGATTCACCATCAAGAATCTCTGGATAAGGGGCAAAACTATCCATACAAGTTATGCTGCTGGATAGGGGCAGGAAGGAGAATCCCTATTTAGCAACATTTTTTCTCCCAGGTGAATCACCTTTCATTGTATCAGGGCTGAAGCATGGAACTGAGTAAGCAAAATTCTTAAGAAATCTTCACTGAAATAAACTAGAGCTACCCAAACGCAGTGCTAAAGGGACTGCAACTCAAAACAAATAGGTGCCTAAAAATTTCAATCTGTTTTTGCATTTACATCATATGAAATCCATGATCAGCAGCCCTGATTTTTATCCCGAAATGCCTACCTGCCAACAACTGTGTGTCCCAGAATAATCATGTCCTCCCTCCACAGCTGAACGAGTCAACAGCACCCATTTTACTTTATAACAGAGACCACCGTCCAGCACACAGTTATACCTCTCTAAGTCCCACTGAAATCAATGGGCTTAAAGTTGTCAAAATCACTATTGGGTTCTGACCAATGACCATGAAAGTATTCTTGGACTCAGATCTGCATTTAAGCCCATCACTACTGCACTGCTCCCTATATCACACCTGCATCACTACTGCACTGCTCCCTATATCACACTGAGTTCCCATAAACACACACACACACACACTTCGCACCTTAGAAACTTCAATTGGCAAAATGTTCACCCTCATTTAAAAAGAAAAATACTGTTTTGAATTATTTGGGTCTGTTAATGGCTGATCCAAGAAGTCACTAAATGCTCAGGCCACACTCCCGCTGAAGTCAATCAAAACCAACTAAAACTGGGTTGGGGCTTTCGTATTAAGATGAAAACTGTCTATCAGTGCTGTTCAACTACAAAACAGTACAGTATAAAAATATTAACATGTACAATCTAGTGTCAGGCAGATTATGCCTCTACACCACAGGCTGAAGGAAATGTTCAACTCGAGACTGTAGAAAAAAAATCAAAAAGATTCAATAAACTTTTGAGGCTTTAGTTTCTTTTCTTTAAGTGGACTCTCATATACTGAAACCAAGGGAGATCATACACATGGCCAGCATCTGCAGTATGTCACTTCCTTGTTTCCCTTTCTCAATATATATATATATATACACATACATATATACACTGTATTTGTCTAATGAAATGGCTTTAGATCAAGAAGCAGAACGTGAGCCGAAAGCTCAAAAGACAGAGAGAGAGATAGGCTAGCACTCCGTTTCCTTGCTGTCCACTCTGTGTTGCCGTTGTAGTTTGAAGGATGACGCTTTCTCACTCCTTGTGACAGGGTGGTCTGTCAGGTCCTCGAATGATTTGGCAGTCGTACTGTTATTTGGGAAAGGATCCTTCTCAAAACAGTCGTCTTCCATGTGAGAGTCTGTGCTTGGGTCCTCTTGAATGGTGTCCATCCTTTGGTGGTCCAGTTTGGGGACCGCTGCTGCCACAGGCACCGGCACCACAGGCTGCAGGGGCTGGTGGCGACTCGTAGATGGCACAGTAGGGAACGGTTTGACAATTCGGACCGAAGCTGAGTCCATGCTGCTGAGCATCTCCACGTTCTGCAAGAGGTGAGTGGGACAATTACAGGAAAACACCGGGAATAGCACTACTCCTTTTACCAGATCCCAGATCCCTCGTTTCCTGCCATCTCTACGTAAGTAGTAGAAGAAGAAGAGATTGGATTTAGACCCTGCCCTTCACTACCCAAAGGAGTCTCAGAGCAGTTTACAATCTCCTTTCCCTTCCCCTCCTCACAACAGACACCCTGTGAGGTAGGCGGGGCTGAGCAAGCTCTGACAGAAACGGCTCCTGAGAGAACAGCTCTGAAACAACTTGTAACTGACCCAAGGTCACACCAGCAACTGCATGTGGAGGAGTGGGGAATCAAACCCAGTTCACCCATGCTCCTAACCACTACACCAAACTGGCTCTCATGTAGGACATGCTCTGCCTAGAGGCTACCTTACCTACACAGCATGTTTTAAATGGGAAGCTGCATCAGTACTTGGATTGCAATCACCAGGCTGACAAGAATTCAAGAACAGGATTTTGCCAGTGCTTTGGAAATCAGAACTGTAGCAGTCTACCATTGTTTGGGGAAGGGAGATGTCTGAAAATTATGGGGATTATTATAATCCCAACAAATTTAAATAGGGATAAATGAAGCCAACTTGCTCTGTTTCATTTCTCCAATAACTTTTTTTTGGGGGGGGGGAGATACAGGATAGATGTTAAACACAGAATGTGTAAAACTGAAATATTCAGGAAGGCATTTTTGCAAAGGAAACAGGGCTGTAGTATAATGAAATGGTTCCAGAGAGGGCTTTTATGATGATATAGGAACACAGTCTGTTGTACCTGTCTACTGGACAGGTTCTTGTTTTGCCACCTTGTCTGCACTGATTTTGGCATGACACATCTTACTTGCAGGAATTTTGTGATCCTAGTCCTGCTGCATCGCTTCCTGGATGTCCCGTTCTACCTGACTGCACTACTGTTCTATTTTTTTCTATTTACTGTCTTTACTGTTTTTGCAACTGGAATCATAAACAGCAACACTGCTGTTATATGCTAGAATATGCCTTCAGTCTCAGTGAGAAAGGTGGGCTATACATGAAGTAAATAAACAAATGCATCACTGATTAAATCAAAACCAGGCAAAAAATGAATAAGCCTTCTTCAGGAAGCTAGTGGACTCCTGTGTACGGCACCCCTACTGGTTGAGAATGAAGACCCAGCCAAGAGAACTGCCAGAACGCAGTACTTAAAGCAAAGCATACATCCTTCTCTGGAAGCTGCTTTATGTTTATTTATGCAAAACATTGGGTCTGGTTTTCACTGCTAAAAAATCTTTACAAGTCTCTGTCAAGAGTATGATATTGAAGACCAGGGCTTTTTCTTTTTCTTTTTAAAAGAGGTGCTGGAACTCTCAAACGGGAAATGACGTTTTCAATCGGTATACTGAAAATTCATGAACTTTTAAACATTTTAAAAATAATTTTGTCGAAGAGGTTCTGGAACTCCGTTCCAATGCGTTCCCCCCCAGGAAAAAAAGCCCTGCTGAAGATATTCAAAAAACATACTTACACTGGGGCCAAACAGAGACTTGGTGTTCTCTTCATACTGCTTATCCAGCTTTTTGTCCTATTAAAACAAAAAAATAGGAAGTACTTACCAAATGCATATATAAACAACTCTCCACTGCCTTTCCTTGAGGAAAGGCCCCAACAAGAATCCAAGAGCTGGTGCAGATGTTCTCACAACCACGTAGCTAAAGAAGTTCCTACTCATGAGGAATGGCAGTAGAATGTGGGAGGAGATGAACTAACAAGAGAGAGTGTGTTTCCATAATTAGAAAAATCACACAAACTACTGATATGATCAGTTGTTTACATAAGTAAATTGGCTGTTGGATCTCTTGAACCGGCTCTCAAACTACCCAGATTCCCTGCTATATAACAAAGAGTATGGACATCAGGACTATTCTGTTTATTTATTCTGTTTATGTGACGTATCTGTAGGGATGGAAAAAACAGTCAGCATTTAAAAGCCTGTGCATGCTAGGAGCCAGATCTGCACAGGTGTGTTTTGGGGAAGGGAAAAGAGAGAATAAAAGATGAGAGGTCCCTCACATTAGTTATCTTACTTTTAAATGTTATGATCCATGAGAAAAGCCCAAGTAGATCACAATTATTGAGCTAAACATAACATACAATACCCGGCTAAATACTTCTGAAAAGCACACCAAGTTTAAACCAAATTAAGTTGATGTCTTAAAATCCACTTTACTCACCACACAATGTACAAGAATGCTCAGAGGAATCCAAAATAGCAAGGAGAATACAACCACAGAACCTACTATGTTGTCTGCCAGAAATTTTCCTGTTTAAAAAAACCCAGAAGAACAGTGATGCCTAAACTGTAGTTGTCTCACATAACATGTCCTTGGCCACTAGCTCCTCACTCCTTTTTCAAGATCACAAAACTAATTCTGTGTTGAAAATTTACTGAAATGAATATTCAAGACCTTTAAATGCTGAAATGTGTATTAGGCAGTCTCTCCCATTATTCCAGAATAATTTATTTATTTTGTCCTGTGTATGTCGCTACATGTCAATTAAAAAAACCATAATGCTGGCAAAGAAACTTTTTAGTTCTACACAAGCTGATTATTAAAGAAAATAGGAGGCTACTCAGAGTTAGATGAAGGAGATCCCACAATATCCTTTCTGCAATGAGACAACTTATCTTTAGCCAGTACTATGAACTCTCATCAGTTTAGCGATGATGCAGGAAGCATTCATATCCCTTTTTCAAATGAGCCTTGCCAGTTATTTAATACTATTTTCTGTATTAAGCCTGACATTCTACATCTTTTGACTTATACAGAGCCTAGCACCCTGCTGGCATGATGGATATTTTTCATAAGTTTGAATGATCTTCTTTTGAGTCTTGTTTTAACATACCTTTAAATCTGTATTTGGACACATTACAAGTTCTTTCTTAGTCTGAAGATAGACTACGGCATTTTTGTACTGAATATTAGAACAGACTAAATAAAGACATTTTTCATATTTTAACAGAGCCCAGAGTTACCAAATAAAATGGATAGCTGGTAGGTAAGGCACAGACAAAAAGGATGTCGAACGCACAATACATAGTCAAGTTACCAAATTTGGCAAGGGTCACTAGTTTAAATAGCTTCATAAAACAATAAGACAGTCCACATAGTGTGTCTATCAAGACTATAAGCCATCATAGCTCAGTTATAACTGCATTCTATAACTTGTAATCAAAGGCAAACAATCATCATTTTCAAATACGGCTAGCAAACTTACAGATCTACCCAAATGGCTCATGTTGGAAACAGAATACTACACAAATCTTTGTGTGACCCAACAAGGCAAGACATGTGTTCTTAGTCATCGCTTCATTGATGCCTTTTGTAAAAAAAAGCCTGAAGCAGAATTGTACCAGCAATATGTGAACACATCACAATGAATGTTAATATATTTATTTACTTGTTTATTTATTTGAACTTTTACCCTGCCCTCCCAGCCAAGGCCGGCTCAGGGCAGCTTACAAACAGATAATTCTAAAACCATAATAAAGTGCCAGAGATCCTTGTTATTGCTGTTATCCATAAACCGTAGCAGCCATCATTCACTATACAATCAATATAGTATTGTTGGGCTGGTTTATGCACGAGCTAAGTAAATCATAGTTTATGGCCTCAGATTACGAGGGGAGGCTAGAATTTTAAAAACTCTTAACTTTACTAGATTACTCTTTTCGTACAGCTATGGGGCCTCTTAAACATGACACAGCTTAGGCCTTAGCATGTCTAAATTAGGCCCTGATTGTCATAGATAAATGTCATTAAATACGCTGCATGGTATTTTAAAATAGGAATGGGCACGAACTGGTTCATGAACCAGAATTCCGCACGAACTTGGACTGGTTCGGAGCCCATGAGCCAATGTTCAGGGAAGGCGCCTTCCCCAAACATTTACTGGACTTTTGTCCGGTTTGGCCCCTCATTTCGAAGTGAGGGGAAGTGAAACAGTTGGGTGAAATGGCTGCGTCATTTAAACCTAACAATGGGATGGGTCCACCTGTCAGCTATTAAGTTTAAATGGCTGCCAGCCATTTAACCCTTCCCAGGAGATCCCCCTCCCCCATTGCTTCTGCCGCAGCCAGAAAAAGGAGGAACCAAACTCGCCGGACCACCTCAGTTTGGGTGTGGGCCTTTGGCTCACTTCAGTTCAGGGGCCGCCCCAAACCAAAATGGGTTTTTTAGATTCATGCCCATCCCTATTTTAGACTACTACAGGAATTACTGAAGTTGTTACATACAACTCTTGTATTATCTGATTATGCTCTGAGGCCAAAAGTCACACCTCAAACCCTCCAGCCTATAAGAGGCCCTCTTGGCCTCTTTAAAAGGCATGTTTTTACAGTTCAGCCTCTTACATAAAAATAAATGTGGTTTTGCACGGTATTGCCAAACAGTGGCTACAAGGTAACGATTATCAGTGTTCCTGATATAAAGGTCTGATATAGGAATCCATCTTTATGTGCAGAAATCAAGATATTTCACACAAGCAACACAGCAGGCGTAAGAAGAAAAGTTGTGTATTTCAAGGTACAAAATAAATGCAACTTACCAAATGTATTGATGCTAAGCTGATCAATGAAAACCCAAAGTCGTTCAATCACATCCTGCACTCGCTTCTCACATTTGCCCTGAGAGACACAGTATTTGTTTAAGAAACCATTTTAATACAAAAAAACATTTCAACCAAACCATTGTGAGAGAAGGGACAGGCTTCACTGGGATGGAAGAACTAGAAAAGCCCCTTTAATTGGTGTAGAACCCAAATGTGCCCACAAGGCAGGTCTGATCATCAGACCAGGGATTAGCAGCAGTTCCTCCACATACGTCAGTAAAAATGGGTTTTCTCAGGCACGTGTTTTCTTGGTGGGGGACCCGTGCTGTGAAAGGAGATTTCAGAGGGCATAAGAAAAGCCCCAACCTTGCAAAGATTCTAGAGGCTCTGTAAAGCAGAACTTGTCTGATATGCCTTTGATGGCTTGTAAATGCAGGCTGTGGTTTGCTTTTTTTAAAAAAATGTATATTCCTGTTGATGTGCATCTGTGTTTAATTTACTTCATTTACCCACCCCCCACCTTTCTCCCCAAAGTGGGCCCAAAGCAGCTTAAATCATTCTCCTCTCCTCACAACAGCCCTGTGAGGCAGTTTAGGGCTGAGGGTGTGTGACTGGCTCAAGGTCACCCGCCCCCTCAAGCTTCCATGCAGAGTGGGGATTCGAACTTGGGTCTCCCAGATCCTAGTCTCCCCAGTCAAGTGTACGTAAACTCACATTCATGTCACAGAATCCCACAGTGCAGGGCTTCCCCTTCCTCAAATATAAGAAATTCTCGTTGGCATCAACATATGGTTTGCATCTCCCTTGTTTATCTCGACAGCAGACCTTACAGGAATGGTCCGTTTCTGAAATGAAGCAAGCCAATTACATTTTTTTTCACAGCTGCTTTTTACACAGTTACATATTATTCCTTATATAAAGGGAAGTCCTTTCACTCTCTTGATCCTAACAGCTGTCCTTTCCCGATAAACAAGCAACAAAGGTAGTCAAAGCAGTAATGGAACCAACAAAAATGTAACTGACATGAAAGAGGAACACTGGAATACACCAGGTCTGGAAAACAGAAAATAAGGGCAGGGGTTGGCTGAAGGTCACTCAGGAGTGACGAGTCACTCTCTAAGCAATTGAACGTAGCTCTCTGCTCCTCCTCCAGTGCTGCTGTAATCCCTTCATATCCTTTAAAGCAACAACAGCCACTTCTCTCCTCTTTCTCTTATGGGAAGGAGGCAGCACACATACGAACCTTTGCTTTGGACAGCACCAGCACCCTTTCTCATCCACCTCTCCTCCCTCCATACACATGTACATTGTGCACACGCACAGGAAAAATACACATGCTCTGGATGGGAAGGGGCCTTGCTATTGACTTTTTCTGTTTGCATCAAAGCTGCTATTTGCCTCTTTCCAAGGAAAACGCAGAGGCAACAGTACATTTTTCCTCTGCAGGACAAGTTTCAGGGGTGGTGGTGGTGGTGGTGTTTACTTTAGGAAGACAGCAAAAGAAATATTAATATTGCCTCAAGCCCACTTGCATATATAGGCCTAAAAAATCCTGAAACCATGGTTAGGGTTGTGGGGCTGCATTTGTGAAGGTGCTTACATGTGCGTCCCCTTGTTTTCTGGGTAATAGGAAAGATATGCAAGGGGTATCACCTACTCAGAGTTTGAGGGACTTTTAAAGGGAAGTCAGCAGTTTCTTCTCACCGTTGCAAGCACAGGAACGTAGGTCTAGCTCCCTCTCACAGAATGGTACGCATCCCCCATCTTTGCACTTTCCCAAATCCACGCAGACCGTGTCATCCGGAGCATTGCCAGGAGGAGGACACTCACTGCTATTGCCTATAAACAGATTTGGCAAGAAGGAGCTACTGCTTAGTATGAGCCTTTTTGGGTGCAAACAGGTAACTTCCGTGAGTTACTGAAAGAAACAAGAAGTCTTCACAAGGTTATTCATAATACAAGTCTGAAGGTCTTCACAGAAAGCTTCCTATAATGGATGCCAAATGAGAGTAGAAAATGACCTAGAACAGGGGCATTGAACTAATTTGTTATGAAGGCTGGATCTGACATAAATGTCACTTTGCTGGGCCAAGCCATGCGTGCCATAAAATGTAACATGAGGTACCAGAAATATAAACTTTATAAAGGTGAGTTCACATGCCGAATGGCAATAGTAGGTGAATAACAATATCAGGCTTTAAAAAAAAATTGTTTCTAAAATTCACTTTTTAAAAAGGTATGGCCATTGATTCCACTTATCGTCTCTCTTAAAAATGGAATTGTCTTTGATTTCTATTAAGTAAGGTCAGCCCTTGCAACTGTCTTAAGTTACACAACATAGGGTGGTGCAGTAGGAGGAGGTAGACACTGTGCCTCTGAGCATGTACAGAGTCAAATTGCTGCCCTCCCCCCATTAGAAACAGACTCCAAATTCTTAAAAAGAGGGAAAGAAATAAATTGTGAGATTTCAGGGAGAAACCGGGTAAAGAGGAATCAAGAGAAAAACTGCATGGGTTTCCAACAACACTCACTCCCCCGAGGTGTGCACTTTGGGCAGCAGCCTGTGACTAATTGACCGCCAAAAACAGGATGCTATCAGACTCAGAGATCTGGGAGATTAGGGGTTAATGTCTCACTGAAAAGCCGTTTGAGTGACAGGATGCTGCCTGCATGCAACCCCTTCTCTCTGATTGGTCAGCGCCTGCTGAGGAGAGTTTTATAAAATCTTATGTGTCTCGTCAGAGTCAGTCAGTAGGAGTATGTGTGTGTCAGTCTGAGGAAAACAGACAAGTAACTTGGGAAGTGAAAGGACACAACTCCTAGCCTTTACTGTACACCAACACATTTTGGGAAAAGTTCAGTAATCAGAACTTAACATCTAAGTGTCAGCACTAGCTGAATTCTGTTTATTCACTGTCTCTACAACTGGGATTTAGGTTTCAGAAGGGGCTGGGCAGTTGGTGGGTAACTGCCAGCCTAGCCAAACAGAAAAGGGTTATCGCTCCTAGGAAAAGGAGGATATTCCTTATCCAGTTATTCAGAGGGTTCAACTCAGGAGGGGCCTCTGGTTTGAGAAGTGAAAAAGGGAAATGATCTTAGACTCCTCAAGAGTACAGAAAAGGAAAGTTATAATTCCAAAAGGGAAATATTGATAACCAGGAAGAAAGTTCTAAATAAGATATTTTTAGGAAACTTTATTAAGACATGTAGTTGCTGAAGGAAAACTACAAGATAAACCAATCTCTCACAGTAAAGAAATGAGTCTCTTAGAATTTAAGCTTCAATTATACTCTGTTGCCTGTTCAATAAAATCAACCTTTTTTTGTTTCTACTTCGTGTCAAGTGCCATTTCCAAAGGGTTTTATAAGAGGGCTCCTGCTGAGTTACAATAAAACTCTGGCCTGGGCAAAAGCCAAATAACTTATTTAACACTGGGTGGGACACAAAGAAAGTTATAAGTTTATAATTCAAACATGCTACTAAGAGGCTGCTCAGTCAGAGTGGTGAACAGTGTTTTGGCGGGAAAATCTGCCTCACAGAACAGAAGGAGCAGGGGTCCGTCATACAGCTATAAGCCAAAATCTCTGCAGACCCTTTACATGGAAGCAAATCCCATTCACTTCGGGAGGGCTTACTCCCAAGTAGGCGAGCAGATGATCACCCTCTTTCAAACCACCCGCATTCCCACATTTTGCACAGTCACACATCAAGCTGCTACCGCTTTCTCCAAGCCAGGATAAAAAGACCCCATCCTTGAGTGGTTGAAAGTGGCCCTGAGATGAACCCCCTCCTGCTCTCCCTCCACCCATCTCCTCTCTGGGTGGCGACTGCAACCCAATGGCTGTGCCGCAGGGAGCAATGTGTGGGACTGGTGTATGCTCACTCGTGTGTGTGTAGATGTGTAAGAGTATGTGTGGCGGTGTGAGCGGGGGGGGGGAGTTGCATCTGACTCAACCAGCTGCCTCAAGAAGAAGAGGAGATTGGATTTATACCCTGCCCTTCACTACCCGAAGAAGTCTCAGAGCGGCTTACCAACTCCTTTCCCTTCCCCTTCCCTTCCCCTTCCCTGTGAGGTAGGTGGGGCTGAGAGAGCTCTTGACAGAAACTGTTCTTTTTTCAAGAACAGCTCTTATCAGAACTACGGCTTGCCCAAGGTCATACCAGCAGCTGCATGTGGAGGAGTGGGGAATCAAACCCGGTTCTCTCAGATTAGAGTCCACGCACTTAACCACTACACCAAACTGGCTCTCACCGTTCTCCTGCCGTTCTGGCTGTGCCTTCCAGGGGGAGATATGGGCAACGAGGGGGGAGAGGAAGAAGCCCACCACCTTCTGCAGGGGGAGGAAGAAATCATCTTGCATTAGAGCCAGGGGATTGAGGCTGCCCACCCATCCTGCAGACGCCTCGACCAGCTTGTGCAGTGCACTGACCAGCTGGCCCTGGCGGGGAGGCTTTTTTCCTTGGGGATGGAAGCGACCCAAAGTGGCTGGTCAGGGGAGCTGAAGGGGTGTGCACGGTGGTGGCAACTACCATCTGCTGAATGCAGAAGATTTCTCCTGGGCAAGGAGGACCGGTGTGGACTGTGTGTGTATGTGTGAGTGAGTGTGCGCGCAGAGACGGTTGTCCCTCCCTCTTTTTAATCTCTGCGTCCAGCCCTGAGTTGCCTGTTGATTGCCTTCTCAGCTGGCGCTGGCTTGTGCACACCACACACCGAGAGACAGAGAGTGAGAGCACGAGTGAGCAAACTGAAATTAAACTGCAGCCAGTGCGTGAACAAGCAAAAAAGCGCCGGCTCCCCCAGACACGCACAGAGGCGGCAGCAGCAAAAGAGAGGCTGGCAATGTAGTCATGGTGGTGCCAGCAGCAGCAGAGGGAGGTTGGGGGGGGGGGGTTTGCTTGCCTTTGCAGAACCCTGAGCGTGCATCTGAAACGGAATGTAAAAATCGTGCAGTATAGATATTTTTCCCTTTGGGAAAGCCCCCCTCCCCAAGACAAACCTGGAGGAAGCTCAGCTCTGGAGAGCTCTTCAGTCTGTCCCCCTTTTTTTTGCAAGACCCAGACCTTGTGGCATAGGAACTACAAATCCAGAGGGACTCAGGTCCCTCTGAGCAGCTGGTGGGGCAAGCCCTTGTCAGCGCTCTCTCTCTTTCCCCCCCCCTCCCATCTCCCCACTTTGCCCAGAAAGGGTACATTAGACACTGGGTGATAAATGGCCACATCATTCCCCCCTATGCATTTTATTCACACACACACACACACACACACACACACACACACACACACACACACACACACATAGAGAGAGATTTACCCAGGCACTACAGGCAACACACTTACTCTAAAACCAATCGTACAGGTTGTACTAATAGGAACCGACATTAGGAGAGAATAACAGATGCACAGCAGTTGGTTTTAAAAGGACATATAATAACTAAATAAAAAGACCCAGTAACACACCTGTGCAATAGGACTCCCCTTTGCAAGTAGCGTTGATGGCTTCTTGGCACTTCTTCTGTGCACTTTCAAACTGGCATCCTTTACAGCAGGGGCTGTTCCGATCGCTATGAAAGGGTGGTGGAGAAGCAACGGGAGAAAGAATCAGTCATCCCAACTGTGTAAATTTTCAGTTTACAAATTTACAGAGCAGTAAGAAGTTTGGAAAGAAATGTAATAGATACAGCTATAACTGTATGCATAAAATTAGAAGCACTTTGATTTAGGGAGGCTCCCTTCAGTTGTTCTCTTGCCTCTCCCTTCTGCCTGACAAATGGAGCTTGAACTCTCAAAAGCTCAAACAAAAGCCCCGAAATCTTGTTGGTCCTGAATGTGCTCCTGGACTTGCATCTAGCTTGCCTTTTCCCATTCACCTCTTCCATGCATGCAACATAATGGATGCCACTTCCTGCTTGCAAAGACAAGCGCCCACTAACTGCTTAGCCCCACAATTTTTTTGCAACTAGGACTCTCCCCTTCCCAGCAGCCAGCTTACCTGCATGTTGCACTTGGCTTCAGTGTGCAGTCAGATGTGCAGCAAAGATCAATGTACCGATGCAAGAGGCCAGGGTCACACTCCTCGCCTTCATCCACCCTGGAGTTGCCACACACTTTGTTGTTGTGCTCTTTGAAGCACTCCGGAGCTTTGGTTTCAATAGTCCGAAGGATGGATTCTTTACTGCAACTTGAAAACATCTAAAAGCATCGCAGGACAGAAGAGTGGGATACAGTAGCAGTGACAAATTCATGATTATATGCACCCTACAGATATACCAGCGCGCACGAAGTAATGAACCTGGCCCAGAATTCAGTTTCCCAAGAGTATCATTTTTGTGTTCATACACACTTGAACTGAGTAATCCGTGAGACGCTGTCTACATACAAAGATAAACAGAACACTCACATACAGCCCAATCACCACACCATTACAAATCTATGTGAGAAATAATTTCTAACCAGTTATTCCATTCACATTTCAGCCAGGCTTCAATGGAATCTTTCTGGAGTATGTTTGTAGAATCAGGTAAACTTCCTTACAGCATCTCAGATACCATACTGCATATAGTGTCCTGATTACACCTGGAAAATGGCCATGGTACGAGGTTGCCTGGGTATAAGCAGTATTTGTACTATAAGCTTCAGGAAAGGACTATAGTCAAGGACTTGTGTCCTCTGCAGCAATGCCTCCGCAAGAAATCAAACCAAAAGTCAACAGGTTCAACTGGACTGCACTAGGGATGTGTGTTCAGTTATTTCCAGTCTGAATAAATATCCAGAAAATACTGATAAAATACTGACCAGATGGTATCTGAAATGTTCTGGGATACCAGTAAATGGGTCCCAAAAATTCCAGAAATATTCAGGAATAACTGTGAATATTGCAAGCAATGTTCACTCTAAGCTGTGGAGTCTTGTGAGCAAAACTTCTACTTTGTGAGCTACTGGCTTTAAAGTTGTGAGCAAGCGATTTAGCTACTGCATAAATTAGTTTGCTCTGGAGCCCTCCTTCCTGAGCTGAGACAAAAATGTGTGAGCCAGAGGCTAAAAAACTGTGAGCTAGCTCACACTAACTCCTCGTCTTGCAACACTGTGTTCTCAACTCAAGTTGGTTTGACAGTGGGGGTATGTAGTAAAACAAATGACAGGATCGCCCACTGGCAACAGTGGGCAATGACGGAATGCCCATTGGATATAATGGGAGTCAGGGGCTCCACTGAAATACATCACGGCACACAAAAGTTGCAATGAAAACAGAGAATGGATTTCGTCTTGCAACACTGTGTTCTCAACTCGAGTTGGTTTGACATTGGGGGTATGTAGTAAAACAAATGATATTGGATATAATTATATCCCATTATATCCCATTGGATATAATGGGAGTCAGGGGCTCCACTGAAATACATCACGGCACACAAAAGTTGCAATGAAAACAGAGAATGGATTTACAATGACTGTCTCTAGGACTGGAGTGAAAGCCCCCAGAGTGGAATGATGGACCCCGGTATTGGAATCAGTGCTCTCGGACTGGCAATCCTGGCTCCCATTATGTCCAATGCCCGTTCCATCATCTTCCATTGTTGCCAATGGGCAATCCTGTCATTCATTTTAGTATGTCTCTTCTTGTTAAATCAGTTTGTCTCAAATTTTCTGCTTTGACATTGGCTCTGCTAGGCTTGCCACATTGTCCCATGGTTCAGCTGGGATTCCTGATTCTGCACTGATTCTGCTGGGCTTGTTGGTCCTATTTGCATTGGAAGCCTTTTGGCCAGTGATTGTTTTTTTCCTCTTACATTTCCTCTTATGTTTTTCTTCCTCTTTGTCCCGGAGAAAGCATGGAATCCCTCCCCACCACATACACAGAGAAAATCAAGGTAGGATGGCTGGGGGCATCTTGTTCAGGAGCCCATAGGATTTCTTGGTCCAATTCAATTGAAACTGGGGAGTTATTTAGTGGACAGGCACCATCACAACTCCACTGCATCACTGGTGCCATTTGCTTAAAAAACAGCCTGCCAGAAAGATTCCCTGTAGGAAATTATGGAGCCAAATAATATCAGAATCCTGAAAAAACTTTGGACCCAAATATCAAACTGGTGTGTGGGATCTGAAGAACCAAGAATACAGGGGGAGGGTTTGGCTCCCTGATAATCTGGATCTGAAAAATACCCAATTTTTTTTATGGTGCACATCCCTAACCTTGCACTACTGCAGGTAACAATTTCAGCCAGTCTACAACAAACAGTTATCAACTACGTATAATGTGATGAGGATGTCATAACGCAAGGTTTGCCAGTGAGATTATTTGGAAGGTACATGTCAAATGCACATAAAGTACACTGCATGGTATTGAAGATGACTGTTTGCAGTTTGTGTGTACAAACACCTACATCACAACTTCAAAGATGATTCTTGTATGTAAAGTCAACCACCACTTCCCAAAGCACTTAACAGCTCATCTTTCCTTGAAGAGGTTATAAAGACTGCACAGAAGGATCCCCCCTTTACCAATTCAGAGCCAAGAGGATACACAACATGGCATGGTTTTCTTTGCAGACAAACGTAACTTTAGTGAACCATTCTGATCTGAGGCCTGCCTGCACTCCGCTCTCTGTTGTCAATATTCAGAACCCCTGCCAGTTTTAGAAGAGAACTGGGATTCCTTTGGTAATTCCCCCCCCCCGCACATTATCAGGGCTTTGGGCAATCTGTACAGTCCTAGCCTGTGATTTTCCACTAACGATAACCATTTTGTTAACACAGGAAGTGATAAACACACACACAAATCAAACAGAATTTTAAGAATACCTTGTTGTTTTCGTGATCTCCACTCACAGCAATTGGATACATAACATATTTTCCTCCCTGGTCTTCAGTCGGGGCGCACACTGCCAGTCCATCAGGATCGTGCTCCGCTCCAAAATTGTGCCCTAACTCATGAGTGGTAACCAAGTCTGCTTCCTTGTTATAAAAGAGAAACACGTGTTAGAAACGTGCGTTGTGTGGAACAGAGTGGACTGAAATGTTTGCGATCCTGTCCTGTTGCATTGTCGGATTTTAGCTATTCAGTAGTTTTTTTTATGCTGCTTCTCCTGGAACCTGCCTAAGATGGCTTACAAAATACAAAGCATCAAAAAATATCGAACAAAATCCAGCATTAAAAATCCATCACAGCATAAAAACAGACTACTGACAGCTCAAACAGTTTAAAAGATCGATCCTTTAATTAAAGCCTGTGTTTGGAGCCCCATTGCCAGAGCGATGCGTAGCATCAGATCCTGGCGACGGTGGGTGCAACGCGTCTCGCTGTCCCCGCGGCAAGGATTCTGTGAAGAGCTACGATCCCCTGCCACGACTTGGCAACTCTATTTCTGGTATAGAAACTTGTGGGACGTGGTGTTAAATTGAGGGGGCATGGCCCTGAGATGCCCCGCCGTATGCCCCTGCATGAGATATGAGATGCCCCTACAGGCCTGAACCCCCTTCTCCTTGCACAGAACTGGGATCAAGCTAATCCTCATCATGCAGAGTATAGCATACCAGAGAGGTAATATTCACGTGTGTGGAAGATCATACTGAAATAAGAAAAGGAGATCCGAAGCTTGCCTTACAGTGCAATCCTTAGCAGTTACATCCTTCTAAGCCTGCTAAAAACAATACATTTTGAAGAACGCAGCTCTGCTTAGCATGCCACTGTTCGTCTGTGCAATGTTAATTTACAGTGCCAGTCAAAGAATCCACCATGGATTCCTTTCTCCCTCACCATTACACCTCCACAAGCTAGACCAAATATTATCAGCTGAGGATAAATACAGCAGCCCACTATTATTGCTGCCTCTATGGAGAGACAAGAAAGCAGTCAAAGGGTAGTCTATCACCTTCTAGCTCACGCCATACCTTCAGCCTCTGAAGCCAGAAGTCACCAAGACCAACAAAAGCTGTTATATCAACACTGTTCCTTAGAAACAATGCAGGATGGCAGCTACCCATCTTCATTCCTTATTATGAAATTGGTCAGAGTTCAAGGGCAAGTGGAGACACTCAAACACAGCAGAGTATGAATGCCACAGCCATTTCTACACAGGGACTCGACATTAAAGAGTGCTCAACACTAGTTTGACTATATCAAACTATTGCTTAATCATGTCTTCAAGTCCCAGTCTGAGACCAGAGTTTTTGTAAGAGGCAGTAGAAATACTTGTTACACAAATCTGGTTCTCTGACCTCAGACCGGCAATTAGTTCTAAAGAGAGAAACCCTATTGTTTAGCTTATCAGGAGGTGCAACATACCAGCATTCCACGTATTGCTGGATGAACACTAAAGACAGGCTCCAAGACATTAACTTAAAGTCAAAACTTGCCATAAAAAAGATTCACTTTTTTTTAAACTATACCTTAGTAAGGATAGTTTTGCCATAGTTCTTTGTGCTGGTTAAACCACTGTTGAGGTAGACATCCTTCCCAACAGCTGCATTGTAATATGCTGCAGGAATGAGAGAGTGCATAAGGTTGAAGTTATAGGACTACAATGTAAATTTGTACGGTGTCTGCATGAGACCCTCTGCTTCTCCAGTTCTCAAAGGAATTGGAGCTTCCTTTTACACTGTCTCGCAATTGACAGATTAGTCTCTGATGAGCTGATTCCTAATCTAGGATATGAATGCCTAGTGGCACAAGTGTCTGGACAACAGCAGGAGGATTCACAGGTCTCTCTGTGGCACATAATCATGTCCATCTCTCTTGTTCTGCATTGCTATGGTGTCTGCATGAGAACCTCTGCTTCTCCAGTTCTCAAAGGAACGGGAGCTTCCTTTTACACTGTCTTGCAATTCACAGATTAGTCTCTGATAAGCTGATTCCTAATCTAGGATATGAATGCCTAGTGGCACAAGTGTCTGGACAACAGCAGGAGGATTCACAGGTCTCTCTGTGGCACATAATCATGTCCATCTCTCTTGTTCTGCATTGCTACTAATTTCTTGTTCCACTACAACCACACATTTCTGAACTGTATGTACAGTAGAGCTCACATTCACACTGCAGACGTCACTTGTCAGTAGCTATCCTGAGCCACAAAGGCCTGATATAAATATTCTAATAAAAACTGTCACTGTTATAATCATGACTGAGAATTGCTCTAAAAATCTGCCAGATGTATGAAGCAAGACTGTAAACATTTGGGCAAGAAATAAATATGTATTTTTAGCTTCAAGGCCTTAATAATAATTTTAAAAAACCCGTTTGTGTCCTTGATTTATGATGTACATGTTACCACTGAGAACACCTACAAAACTCAGGGTTGGGCTCCCTATAAGAAGGCTCCTTTATTGACTATTAAAAAGATTTATATCCCACTCTAGAATTTGCTGAAGGTGGCTAAGAGAAACAAATATACAATTTAAAAATAATAAACAGAGTAATTCAAGTAGCTACGGTGTCAAAATTATCTCCTCATGTGCAATCATAAAAACAGTTGCTTACCTGTAACTGATGATCTTCGAGTGGTCATCTGTGCAGTCACACACATGGGTACTGCACCTGCACCATACCTGATCCTCAGAGAATTCTAGAGTTTTCCTCAGTCATTGTGGCATGCTTTGTGGCGCGGGCATGCTCTGTGCATGTTCAGATCTGAGGAGAAGGCACATCCCACTCAGTTCCTTCAACCACCGCTGGTAAGTCCCGTCAACAAAGGTAAGTGAATGCCAGCAGAGGGGAAGGCTGGGCAGGCATGTGTGACTGCATAGATGACCACTCAAAGATCATCAGTTACAGGTAAGCAACCTATTTATCTTCTTCGTGCAGTCCCACACATAGGTGACTAGCGAGCTGGACCAAAGCAGGATGGCAGGTGCTGGCAACTGAAAGACAAGAAGAGAAAGTTCCCAACATAGAATAAACATCCAACGAGCTCACCTTGTGTTGCAGGGCAGCGGTTGTCTACTGGAAGAGAGACTACAGCATTGTATTACCAAAGGAAGCATTTCCAATGGGCTGGAGGTTGGAGGTCGAGACAGTAATGGGAGAGGAAGGTGGATGGAGAGGACCAGGTCTCTGCATTACAGATGTCTTCAAGGGATGCACCACCCAAAAGAGCTGCAGAAGTTGAGACAGCTCATGTCGAGTGAGCTCGAAGGTGAGCAGGCAAAGATTCATGTGCTAACTCGTAACAAAAAGTAACTTTGTTGACATAGTACATGGTCACCACATTTTCTGTGGCCACCTGAACTACATGGGTCTGTAGGGAAGGAAGAAAGGACCGAAGGGCGTGATGGATCACCAACAATTGATATGTAGATGAGCCTGATGGGGTGTCCAGTGGCCTTGTGCAGTGAGATCCCCACAATGGGCTCCCCAACCCCAATGCGAGGCATCCATTGTAATGAGGAGAGGTTTATGCAAAGACTGAGACTCGAGAGAAGGTGAAGAATAATTGAGAGATTGCGGTCGAGCTGGGTCACCGACGAGGAGACAAGGAGCCAGTCGTCGATGTAAGAGTAGATGATGCTCTCCTGTAGGTGAAGCACGGCAGCAATGATAGCCATGCATTTCATGAAAATGCGAGGGGTGGTGGAAAGACCAAAGGGCAGGACCCAGTATTGGTAATGGGAGTCGCCAACCGTGAACTGTAGATAACAACGATATTGCAGACGAATGGTGACATGGAAGTAGGCATCCTATGGATGCCAGCCAGGCATGATTGGGCAGTAGTGGCAGAATCACCTGCAAAGTAATAATCTGGAACCGGGTGGAGATGATGTAGTGGTTTAGATCTAGAAGGTCCATTATCGATAATTTCCCACCATTGCGTTTGGGGACTATGAAATAACAAGAATAGAAACCTTGATGGTATGCCATCGGTGGTACAGGCTCTATGGCTCCTTTAGTCAGTAAAGTGGCAACCTCATCCTGCAGTGTGGGGGAAGGAGTAGTGGGTGTGAAATGTGGAATCGGTGGAAGAGAGGTAAACTCGATGGCATACCCCCCCCCCGAATTATGGTGAGGACCCAGGAGTTGTTGGTGATGTTGCCCCATACTGAGAAAAAAGGAAGAAATCTGGTGTCCACTGGTGGAGCCTGGCGGTTCCAGAGAGGTATTCCCCATGTCCTCCACTAGAGGGGAAGGAGAAGCATGTGGAGGTAGAGGAAGACCCACCGAAATATCAGTAGGCAATGGGATCAATGGCTGTGCAGGCCATAAGCTGGAAGGCCAGGTGGTGAGGTGATCTGAGGGTTTGTGTCAGACGGACGTCGGGATTGGGACCAATAGCATCCTCTGTATCAAGCAGAAGAATAGTCCAGATGATAAGAGGACCAGGACCTGGAGTAATCTCTGGAGTAGCAATGTTGGCACCGACGAGACAATCAAGATCGATGGCGTCTTGGGGTCCGAGAGTATGAGGAGTACTGATCCCAGCTCCGACATCAGGAAGGAGACTGGGAAGGATAAGAGCAATGTTGGTCTGGTGAGCAGGGACCGAGGCAATTTCCATGAATGGACAGGCTGGTCTTGCTGTAGCCACCTGTGTTCAATCATCATGAGATGTTTGGGGGATAGACAAACCAGAGATGATGAGTGCACAGAGGGAGACTGAGAGGAGATTTGACTGATCACTTGACCTGATGGGATCTGTTGAGAAGAGATTGTGGCCAACTCCGAATGTGGAGGTCACAGCAGAGACATTGCTGAGGTTGTGGCTGATGAAGTGGATGGTTGTACCACCGCAGCGGCCGTGGAAAGACTCGAAATAACCAGAGGTGTGACTGAAGTAGTCGGTGACAGCTGGGTCAACTTGGGCTTCTTATGGGGGTGCGCCGCTCCAGGAGAATCAGTGGGACGCTTGATCAATACATCAAACTTTTTATTCTTTTTGGCCGGATCCGAAGCCCTTGGTACCGAAGTCGTCAATACTGGAGGCCAAGGAGGTGGAGTTGAACCCAAGCACACCAGGGAGGACGTCGGTGGGGCTGGCAACACTCGATTAGGAGACTGTGAAATCGAAGACTTTGATTCCTGCAAGCCAGTCTTGTGAACTTAGTGCAATGAGGACAGGAGTCTATCCGGTGGGCCTCTCCAAGGCAAAGGAGGCAAAGGTTGTGACCATCAGTAGAAGGGAGCTTAGCTCCACAAGAAGTGCACTTTTAAAAGAAATTAGCTCCTCCCATGCACCACCCTCACAGACCTCCACAGAAGAGAGGGGAGGGAAAGGGGGGGAGGGGAGGAATTGGGAGACATAGACATAGACAAAGACAAACTCACAAAGGATCCTCTTTTTTTGGAACAAAGGAAACAAACTAGGAAAGGACAAAGACCAAGGAAAATATGAACAAAGAAGACTGAGAGACAAATGATCAAGGAGAAAATAGAGGAGGGATCTGGTTCAAGTGGCGGTTGAAGAGGAACTGGACGCACCTTCTCCTAAGCTCCAAGCATGTGCACAGTGTGCCTGATCCCCAGAGCCTGAGGAGAAAGCGCACCACGACGACTGAGGAAAGCTCTAGAAATTGCCAAGGCTCGGGTCCAGCACAGGCACAGTACCTATGTGTGGAACTGCACAGAGACCACAAAGATCTCCTGCTACAGGGGTGAAAGCTACTTCATTTTTACCCTGTACCGCCAATTCACTCCTCCCTCCCCCTTTCAGCCACATTCCTCCTGGTGCTCAGTACTGGCTTGTAAAGGCTTACTTTGGGCCCTATTCTACTCACACAAAGAAATTTGGTTCAAGATAATGACCTGATCTGAAAAGCATCTACATTGGGTGTTTAATTTTCATCTTCAGGCAATTTTGCATCACTGAATGAGTACAAAAAGGGAAAAAAAAATGCCTTATTAACTAGGAAAAAAATATTACCTTTGGGGCAGATACCACCATGGCTGTTTTGTCTTTGAGAGCCAACATACGCCAGTCCAAGAGTGCCCATATCAAAGTCTTGGTATGTAAAGAGATGTGCAAGGCACACATGAGCTGCCTTCTCAGCTATATCATAGCTGAATTGCTGTGTGGAACAGATATGCCAACATATTTTAATGAAAGGAAAACATTTACTTCATATCTTAGCAACAACAGATTTCTGTTTCACCATCATTAGCTAGCTGTCACCCACTCCATCCTCCCACAACGGGGAAAGCTTTTCTTCCCCCGTTGTGGGAGGATGGAGTGGGTGACAGCTAGCTAATGATAAAAATCCCAGAAAATAAAAACCATCTTGAAAACATTTCTATGAAATGACTATTGTGGAGATAGTTACACCATACTTGACATGACCAGAAACATTTTTGCCACCACTTACTAGGAGAGGAACATGTGAACTATATAAGGCACGACAAATTGTAATGGCAAAAATGTGGGCATACGTCATTCTAAGACAGCAGAGACAATTATTTAAAAAGAAAAGATATTAATTACATCTTGCAATTAATTGCTCTGTATAGCCTTCTAGATTCCCCAGACTAAAATAAGCGCTTAAACATATTCCCTTGAAAGCATGCTTCTCTCGTAATTTACATTTCCACAGTCGTACACAATAAAATCTTTGTAATCCAGCACTTGATTATCCGGAACACTCAGTTAACTGGCATCACCCAAAGGGCAAGCTCCTCAACTGCCATACACCTGCATCTTGTGACACATGCACGCCTCACTCCCACCTCTCCATCTGATGCCTCCAGCTACTGCTAGGCTTCTGCCAGCAGACATCATCTCTGGGTGTCTCTTTCCACTTCAGCCTGCCTCTTGGGAGCCAGGTTTTTCACAGAGGTTTGGGCTTGTCTGCCTCCTGTGTAGGACAGTTCCATAGCTCAACAGGAAGGGGACGACACAGGGGCTATCACTATGATGTTCCCAATGGTGTGGATTCCTCTGGGTAGGGGGGTAGAGCAGAGCAAGCCAAAATATCCTTCACATTTGATTAACTGGAAACCTCCATTCCCCATTAGTGCCTGTTAAACCTTTTACAGTACTTGCCTGAGTCAAGACAGATGGGTCCTGTGCCTCACTAATAAATGGAGTGGTTAGTGATACACTGTAGAAACACACACAGCCTACCTCCAACAGCTCCTTTACTTCCCAAGCATCCTTCGCCTCGTTTGGCTGACTTTTTGCCATGTTATAATGTTTTTCCACAGCAGATACATTTTGAGGCTCACTGTGAACAATAATCTTTATTTAAGAAAAAAATTAACATATTAATGTGGGGCGATTTAAGCAAGGAAGTGACATCAAATCTAGGAAATCGTTTGTCTCCTTTCAACCCTACAAAATACTGTATTTACTCAAATCCAAGATGAGGTGGTTGTTGGTTTACCAAGTATACCATCAAAAGGGGCGGGGTCTTACATTCATGTACAAGTTAACAGTTATGTACATATTTTTTTTCTATATAACTTTTTTTGGGTAAGACATCTTACATCCAGGATTATCTTCCTTTTGAGTAAATGGAAATCTTGCCATGCTGAATTTTTTCAACCACTACAGAAGATTCTGCTTTCCATTAGCAAAGGCTCCTGAAACCTTGATATACAAATTGTAACGATCACAAAAGAAAATTCTACACACATAGTAAATTATATCTGTGCACCATCTCACTAACAATTTCCAAGTCAATGCTCTGTTTCAGAGCTGTACAAAGGGTCCTCATTTTAGCTGCCCAGGCTCTGTATCAGACAGAACTTATACTAAGACTCAGCTTTCATTGAAAAAATTATGGTTATGTTAGGAAGTTTAGAACATAAGCAGGTAACAACTAACACAGACGGACAAAAGGCATGACTGACCAAGACTGCCAGTGGCAAGGACAGTCGCAGAACAATGTGATGGTATAAGCAAGCAACCTTGTATAGTTAGACAGATCAAACGAAACCAAAGGTCACAGCATGTGCACTAACAGCATTAAATGTGGATTTCTTCTGGTAAAGAACTGGACAGCTGATACTCTTGCATGCTCTTCTATACTTTTTAGCTACCCACTTTTGCATAAAGTATCAACTTAAAACTGCAGCCTCTGTATCCTATTCATAGGTGCAGGGTACTCAATGATGCCTGCACACTCTTTTACCAAGCATTGAGGCTAAAGCTCAAAGTTTATTCAGAAAGAAAGCTGTATAACCAAAGGCCTGAAGCAGTAGTTTCTTGTCTGGCAGGAAAACAAGATGTTGGGGTGGTGATGAAGAGCTGGTAAGTACTAGGAGATTGCACACTTTTTCTCCCTTGTGATTAATCCTACAACTCAACCATAATGGAACACCTCCTTTCGGGTGTAACATTTGGCAGGAAAACAAGATGTTGGGGTGGTGATGAAGAGCTGGTAAGTACTAGGAGATTGCACACTTTTTCTCCCTTGTGATTAATCCTACAACTCAACCATAATGGAACACCTCCTTTCGGGTGTAACATTCAAGTCTATCCATTCCCCATTCATTTGCAATCTGTCATAAAGAAGTAGCTAACTAGATTTCTTCATTCTCACCCTACAGTCAGGGCTGGCTATAGATTTTGGGAGAAGCAAAGCAGGAGGCAGCCAAAACAGGGGTTTCGGAAAGCTAATGGCGGCTGTGTCTCCTGGAGGCTCCCAGGGTCGCAGCCCGCAAACCAGCGGTTAGAGAGGGGGTGCGAATGTACGCTCTCTCCAGGGACCTTTGCGAAAGGTCTCTAGCCATGGAGCGCTGAGAATTGCCCCCCCCCCGACAGCATGTGGTGTAGGCATTCTTTTGCTCCGACGGTCTCTCCGCTGTGTTCCTTTAAGGACTAAGCTACGCACACCCCAGCAAGCATGTGGAGGACAAGCGATAAATCGGAGCGAGCAGACGTTGAAGAGTGAGTTTGTTGAAGCGAGAACACCAGAAAATGAGCGAATCCCCTTTTACTAAAAGCGAGGGGGGGGGAGGGACTCTCCTCCGGAAAGAACAATTAAAGCGATTAAAGAAAAGCCTTTGTAATGGGGACAGAGTCTTAAGCTGCATGCTAGTATAAAGCCAACTAAAATAGTTGAACTTTTATCTTGTTTTGGAAAACTTACTTCTTGTTGATATTATGGTGGGGAGAGGGCGGAAAACGATGCCAAAGAAAAAACTACCTCCCAGAAACAGGAAGTTAACACAGACTTTTCTACATTGCTAGCAAATGCACTGCACCCTCTAATGGAGCAGATAACTCATCTCAACACTAAATTGGACACTGTCCAAAAACAACTGACTCAAATGGATAAAAGAACCTCAGAAAACAATAAAAATGATGGGGGGGGAAAGACTGAGAGTATTAACAAAAGAATGGATGAAGCGGATAAAGAAAGATCTTCTGACAAAACACAGCTAATACAGCTCCAGCTGGAAAGATCTACATACGTCCTACATTTCCAGGGGATTCCAGAAGAAAAAAATGAGAACTTAAAGGAACTCTTAGCGGACACTCTTGTACCACTAATGGATTATAAACTAGAAGAATTATTGAATGAGATGGACTTGGCCTACAGGATTTACCTGGACTTTATAAAGAAAAACAAACTCCCAGGAGAAATTTATTTGAAATTTACAAAATGATCTACCAGGGATCTGGTGCTAAAATCCACAATGGGGAAGGCTTTAAAAATCAAAAATGAAGATATCCCCTTTGTAGTGAGGAAGAAGAGGAGACTTTATAAGGAACTTACTCTCTTTCTACAAAAAAAGGGAATACCCTATAGATGGTTATTTCCTGAAGGAGTGAGCTTCAACTATGAGGACAAAAATATCAAGATTGACTCTGTTCCTAAACCAAATAAGTTTTTGGCTCAATTTTCAAAGCCAAATCAAAATAAAAAAGAAAAGAAGACAAAACTTTCTGCAAAGGAGGAAGAAAATGTCGAAGAATCCTACTCACAGGATTCAACAAGCACTAGTTCTAAAACTTCAGAGACTTCGGAATCTGAAAAAGGAGAAGCCACTCCCAAACTTCAGACAAGGAAGAAACGCAAGAAGAAAAGACTCTGAAACTAAGATAGATGGTTAGGCAGTTTTTGTTAAAACTATATTCAAAGCTAATTTTTATTCTTAAATTTTTATTTACAATGTTATCTTCATATTATTAGGTGATATAATTAAATATTCATATAATCCAGATTGTGCCACCTGTTAGCTCCACTTCCCCATTTCCTAGTAGAACTATAGTGTATCAGTGTAGTAATGTTCCACTCCCCCATTCCAGTAGTTTTAGTGCTGTAGTAATGGAAAAACAATAAAATCTTTATTAAAAAAAAGGAATACCCTCCCCACCTGCATCTGGAGGCTCACCTGGTGCCTAGCTTACCTTCATTTATGTGCCAGGTCCCAACACTTCTTTTAACCCAGAATTTTAACGGAGGTTTCTTTTTTAAAAGTTATTTTTAAGGTCTGCATCTAGTCTGAGACCTATTTGATGATTATCATTTAAAGCTGCTGAATGCTGTTTCACATTGTTTTTAAGCCCTAGCTTCTTTTCATGCTGTGATGTTATGATATTATTGTACTGCTTTACTCTAAAGTCATATCAAGCAGCTTTCCAGAGAAGCAACTGTTGGCACAGCAACAGTGCACAACCTGATTAAAGAGTAGATAAAGGTTTATTTAGGAATGATAGGAAAGAGGAGAGAGATAGGTTCTTAACTACATCTCTAGCCGAGAGAGGGGGTAAGACTGAGTGTGGGGAAACTGCCCTAACAGTAGCAATCTGGAGACAGACAAGTAATGACACTTAACAGGAGAGAGAAGATGCTGACCTTACTATCCTATCTAATTGTCTTCTTGCTGCCCCCTGCAGGGTCTTCTTCTCGTCTTCTTTGTATACCAGACATTGCCTTTTCCAACAGCAATATGTGCATTTTCTGAATAAAGTTAGGTGTCTATGGAAAAACTAGCTTAAAGGGCATCAGAAGAGGGACCGTAGTCAATAGGAAAATAACTCAACAACATTCAGAAACACTAGGATGCTATTTTGCCTCCATCACAGTCTATTTTTAGTATTATGGCTTGAAGAAATAATTCAATGAAACTAATTAAACACAAAATGACACTTAGCAAAGAGGAATAGTACCAAAGTTTTACAACTCATTCCAAGAGTCATCTAAGTACCTGTTCTATCTGTATGCCATATCCTTTAAAGTTTTCATTGTCCCACGAGGTATTGCGATATATGTCATCCACTCTGTCTATTAATTCAATCTATGCACAGAAAAGGAAAGGATTATTCCATTCCAGTCTCTTATTATTAGCTTATTGAATGCTATGGATTATGTATGAATACTTGCATAAAGGAATACAAAATGAAGAAAACCCTTTACTTCTTGCTATATATTTTAGGATCAGAGCTTCCACAGGACATGCTTTCAAAACAAGAACAAACCCTGCAAATTATACTTATAACTTTTTAAAAAGCACAGATAAACACAGATAAAAATGAAAACCACAGATACAAACAATACTTTGTTCCCATAATGGCTTCCATATTTTCTGAAGGAAAACCAACAGCAAACTGTGCACTCCAGTCTGTATGGCAAATCCCCACCCCAATCAAATATATTTCCAAATCTAACACAATGCATTTTTTTCTCAGATTCTTCTAGAGAGAAAATAGTATTTGTGTCACATATAAGCCATGACAAATGGCTTTACATCCAGACTGGAAATGGATTAATGGTAATCAGAAATACAGCAATAGCCATCAGACACACAAAACAACCTAGGTCCCGGTCACACAGGCCGGAAAATGCGGGGGGAAGTGTGGCTGTTTGCCCTGGAGCAAAGTAACACGCGGCAGCCCGATCACATGTCCCGTGGAGGTCCCATGGGTATGCTGTTAGGTGCCGATCACATGGCTATCCTGCAGCGCGGCAAAGAAGCGGTGCGGCGCGATCACACTGGCAATCGCTAGGCGCCGCTTCCGTGGCAAACGGGAATTTTTTCCCCCTCAAGGAATTTCCCCCCTCAAGGTGGGCGTTTGTGCGCATCCTGTGGAGACTTAAAAAAAAAAAAAACCATCCAGTTTGCGACGGGACATGGGCGGGCACCGGATGCCACGGGATTCCAGTGGAAATGTGATCAGACGCCCGCCCTTGCCCCGCATTTTCCGGAAACTAGCACATTGTATGTAGTAGGTTTTTACTCCATATCTTCGGCAAGAAGCCACAGGTTGCACTATGCTTCCCAGATGTTGCGGTGTGATCACACCCGGAAAATCTGCCTATCATCCGTATCTTTAGCGCGGCAAATGCTCATTGTGAACGGGACCCTAGTAGTTCTGCATACTATAGGTAGCTAGTATATATACTACTAAGACAGACAAAGGCAACTCTTACTGTAAGCCACTTTGGGTGCCTGTTGGGGAGAAAGGCCTGGTATAAACAAAGCAAGAAAATAAAGATCCATTTCCCTTTCTTCTGTACCTGCTAAACAGTACTTTAAAAATATTTTTCGTATCTTTAAGAGTCATATTCTAACTACGGCAATGTACAATGATCTACAGTTCAGCTTCCTCAAACAACTGGCAGCAGACAGATATACTTACTAAGTAATTAATTGTGGTGCTTTCTTCCTCACGGCCCATGTGCTTAAAGAAGCGATGATCTGCTACTACTAACATTCTGCAGGTATTCCTGAAGGGATCGGGGACAGCTCTTTTTTGCCGAGAGACTTTCACTGTGATGACAATTTAGAAGTTGCTAAGTAGGTCACACCATTTAGGACATCCCTTACGTTGAATCAAAAATGTAACATTACAATAGCAGACATGAAAACATTGATCTTCTTAAGGATCCTCAAACAGGTGTTATACAAGTCTACATCGGCCAGGGTACAGCAAAATTATAAACCTATGAAACCTAGGGTCTCTTGCTGGGACTTTCAGAGATTACACCATGTACTTTACCTTTGATAAAGAATATAGCTTCCGTAGTGTTGAGTTTTGTTTTTACTTGCTGAACACAGCAAATGTGAAGAGAATGATTAGATTTGTTTTAACGGAGGACAGGTGATCTATGTATGCCATAGGCTCCCTGCAGAAAGGGTAGGATTTAAAGTGCCTAAGGAATTTGTTTGTTATAATACATATTTTCTTTTAGACAGCCAATATTCTGACAGGATATGGAGCCTGGGCTTGGTGGAAATACTGAAGGGGAGAGAACTGGGAATGTCTGAGCCACCTGAATAGGTCCTGAGCTAAGTATCCCGCCACTTCCCTTTCTGTAGATATTTAGAGCCTGGATTTGACCAGCATCATGGGGATTAAAGAGCTCTTGACCGTTGGGGGGGGGTCTTATCCCATAGCTCTGTGTGAACCTAACCAGTGGAACTGACACCAGCCCACAACAACGTTTTGGCTTATCACCAGCTTCAACTGTGTATCCGGGGGTGTGTGTGTGTCAGGACGGAGGCTACTGGATTACATGTCTTTATTAAAATTGTATGTTATGTGTGTGCTTCACTTTAAAAGCAGTTTTAAATCCCCAGGGTAGAAGGGAAAGTATTGTCAAGTATTTTAAAAATACGTTTAGATGAATAAATAATACTTCTCCAAGGTTTCTGGTGAGAAATACATACCTTCAATTGATAGTTTCTACCTTACTTTAGCTGACTGCTGCACATACATGTCAAATCCAGAAAACTACTTTAAAAGTATCTGTAAATTATTATTTCTAAACAATAGGGTATGGGATTAAAACCTATAATAGTATAATCTGAAGTACTTGTATTGGTTGTCTGGCCAGTACTTTCAGAGCCCTCTCCTATTTCACAAAGGCAGCAGCAAATATACAAGATCCTTGCAGCAACAGTAGCTGTTTGCTTAGAAGGGCAAGGACAACATAGCTAATGTTTTCCTCCTACCACACAAAGGAAACAGAAGGCTGCCTATCTTGCAGGACTATGACAGAGAAATATGCAAGGCAGGTATTGAAATAGTCACAGTATAGTCAGTCACTGAATTTGTGCTGCATTAGGCCAAATCTTGTTTCTTGCATTAGCTCCTTTAAAAATAGAAAAGACTCCTGGGTACAATAATGAAAGAATCAGTTGTAATTACTTAGGCACTTACCTTCATTTGATATACTGTCCATCCCTGCACCCAACAGGTCTTCATCCTCTAACTTAACATAGCCACAAACTTTTGGAGACTGTAAGCGTGAGACATCCTTGATGTCTTCTGATTTGTACACCAAAAGTCTTCCATCCTTCGAATTATTAAGAAACCTCCACAGGGGCTGCAATCAGGGGAGGGGAAAAAGTAGTAACTTTAAATAGAAAATAAGATAAAATTAATAACAGCACTCCCTTTTCTTCCCACTTTATTTTACTTAATACACATTCACAATAACCTGCAATACTCTTTTAAAAGATATGCCTAGAAATCTTTGGTTTTCTTTAAACACCAAACAAGCAACTGGACAAGTAAAAACTCTGGACTCTTTGTACATATTTAGGCTTGCCATATTTAAGTCCTCCAAGCCCAGCCAACCCAATCTGCATATTATACAAATCAATCATATTAATTGTTGCTTTATCTACCAGTAGTTTTGCATCTCCTTCTGTTAACTAATACAAGACTGTTGGGGAAAGGCCACAAAAGTATCTTCACTCAATCCTTTGCTGATGCCAGAATTTGCTAAGGAAACTACGGCAAAACTTGTCTGGGAGAGAGAGAAATGGAGCGAGGCTCCTTGTCTGATGGTTTCAGGTTTTGCTGCTCCAGCAGTGCATGGCTCTGCTTCTGTCCAAGCAAAGCACAAAGTTAAGTTCCCATGTGGGAGAAAAACAAACAAGAATCTCCTAAGACTTGAGCCCTTGTACTCTTGATTTCAGCATGGTTTCACCGGTCTCGAAGAAATTCTCAACCACAGTCTTAAAGTCTAATCCTTACATACTCATGCCATTAACTTTCAAAATAAGTGTGCTATGTACTGCAAGCCTTAAACAACTCAAATCTCTACCAACACCACACAGTAATTCTGAGTTTCTCTGCATAATTTAATAAGAATGTTGGGGAAAGGCCACAAAAGTATCTATGTATTGCAAGCCTTAAACAACTCAAATTTCTACCAACACCACATAGTAATTCTGAGTTTCTCTGCATAATTTAAGAAGCTGTCATGTTAGTGCTGAAAGATACAGCAAAAAGGGACGCTTCTGTGGAAGATTAGCGTGCCTAATGGCAAACTCCCTGAACATAAAGGAAGTGAGGAGGACAGTGGCTTCTACCTCTCTAGCACTTGCGTTGGGTGTGTGTGTGTTGGCCCTTCCAACAATCTCCTTTTTATTGATAACAGCATGCTTACCCCCTGTCCTAAGGAAAGAAGGGTTAGTAAGAATCTGGGACAATCTAGATGGATTTATCTCAGAAGCAAGAGAAGGGTTACCAAGGCATTACTTAATAATAACAACAGGGAATATAATGTTAGAGATGTTTGACCCAGATAAGGAAGACTTCCCACATCCTTTTGAATAGGGCAGGAAGGGATCAAGGGGTTAACTCAACCAGTAAACAATTAATAAATCTAGTGCTTTCTCATAACTTGCTGACAGTCAATGGGAATAAACTGATGGGCCCTGAAGGGGCACTTGTTTTACCCATAAGGGTGCCAGCACAGTAGATTACTGTCTGGAACCAGAAGAGGTGTTAACTAAGACCTGCGATTTCAAAGTGGGGGACTTCCTTGGGGGTGACCATCTCCCTCTTATGTTAAGTTTAACCATAGATAACAAATGGTTAAGTCACCATCTTCAACCCTGCACGCTGAGCAGATCAACCAGAGAATGAAAATAAGGAAATGGACCCCATTGATATCACAAGAAATTAGTTCTCCACTTGCAAGAATGCTACTTCTTGTCCAACAAATGTGCTTTAGCAGTTGATGTGACATCTTATTATGATCCTTTGAGCCAGATCACAGATTTATGTAAATCTGTATACCAGCTACCTTGCTTTAACCAACTAAAACAAAGGAAGAACACTGGTTTGATTATGAATGCCAGATCCTCCTGAGAAAAGTGAGAGCTTATCATAAGGAGTTTGGATTGAAGAGATCAGAATATACCTTAATCAGACTTAAGATGGCTAAGAGAGCTGGAAAAAACTAGTAATCAATAAGAAAGGGCAGCTTTGATAAAAAAAGTGGAGAGCTCTAATACCCGCTACCCACAATGGAAATAGACAGTTCTGGCATATTGTGAACAACAGTGTCAAGAATATTTATTTTATTCCCTTTTGCATCTCTCCAGATATATGTTTTACTTTTTTTCAGCTGTTTGAAGGGACCTAGCCAGATATATAGAAGAGGAAAATTTGGTTGAAATTGAGGAAGTTGAACTTTGGCCACCAGTGTCAATTGAAACCACTGAATACCTAATAAAGAACAAGAAATTGGGAAAGGCACCACAAATGGATGGAGTACCAATAGATTACAATCAAACTCAAAATGGTGGGCTGAAGTTCTGACCCCTCTCTTCTCTATGATAAATAATTTGGGGTGCATTCCGTCCATCTGGAAGAAAGCTCTGGTGGTACTGATTTTCAAGAATAAAGGGAAAGGCAGGGCCCAGAGAACTATTGCTCAATTACCCTCCTCTCAGTTATTGGGAAACTATATAAAGCTTATTTAAGCATAAGATCGAAAGAATGGCTGGAGGAGTCAGAAATTCTGAGTGAGGAACAAGTTGTGTTCCACCAAGGATGCTCTGTGGTTGATCACTGCCTGATTTTAGCCTATTTGGTTGAGAAGTATACTTCTTCAGTAAATAATCATCTATTATGCCTTCATGGACATGCTCAGCATTTGATAGCATCTCTAAAACTAGACTATGGCAGAAGCTAAAGGAAACCACAATCAGCAGATGCATGCTATGACTGTTGACTAGATTATATCAAGGCATAGAAGTGAAAATCAGATATAGCCCTGAAGGCCAGACTACAGATTCTATCCCAATCTTTAAAGGTGTTCAACAAGTTTCTCTTTTATCCTCTTACTTATTTAATCTATATATCATTGAAATTGTCAAAGCAGTTTCAGGACATACTCACCATACACCTATCCTTAATGATCAAGATCGTGATCAGTTCTAATTTACGCTGATGACACCATGTTATTATCTCGCACACTGATAGAGTTGAAATGCATGTTGGCTAGTTTTAGCTCCTACTGTGCTAATGATGGTTTAACTATAAATACTGAGAAATCAAAAGTAGCTGTCTTCACAAGAGAATGGCAAATGCTAACACTGAACAAATAATATTTAGATATTTAGAAATGATATGCTCCCAAGACCTATCTTGGAAAAATCAATTCCAATCTATCTTTTATAAAATAACACCATATTTAAATGCCGTGACACATTTTTTTTTCACACACAAGGAGGGAAGTATTACCCAGCAGCTATAAGCACTTTTTGGGGTAAAATTAATCAAATTATACTTTATGGCACTGGAGAGTGGGTAGAAGGAATATCTGAGACTATTGATTCCTTTTTATTAAAATTCATTAGAAAAATAACCAGGTTACCAAAGTCTGTATTCAGTATAGCTATTCATCAAGAATTTGCAGTTACTTCAATAGAATCAGTAGCTTGGCTGGACGCTTTTAGACTCAGGATCAAGATTCTTTTTAACTATAGATCTAAACTCCTTTTTAGACTAGAAGATCCCTTCCAGAATAAATGGAAGAGACTGGAACAACTAGGCCTTACTCCAGCTTTACTACTCTTGATGGGAAGCGAGAAAACTGTGTGCTAAAGGGTCAAAAAGCAGCTATTGATGCTAGATTTCAGAAGCACAAATTAGCGAGCAAGAAGGGTATATTCCCTTGTCTACAACAGACTTGCACCTCCAGCTACCTTATCAGCATATTTAAAGTCCATGACGATTCCCCAATATCAAGATTTAGTTTGGGGGGGGGGGGGGCCCTGCTAGATTGAATGCCATATTAACCCCAGAAATGAAAGGTCACTTTTTGGGAGTTCCGTTTTCAGAATGCTGGTGTTTCTGCAATATGGAGAAGATAGGTACCTTAGCTCATCTAATTATCGAATGTCCCAATTTCAGTGAGGAGAGAACGAGATGGATAACCTTGATACTTTAGAAGAATGAGCTCACAAATATTAATCAGAGCCTTTCTTTTCTTTTACAAGATAAGGACCCAGATATCACCAGTTCACTGACATCCTACCTTTTAGCAACCCAACTTAAAGTTAAAAAAACTTTTGTGACTGCAGCAGGCCCATAACGACGGTGGGGCTATTGGGGGCTCTGCCCCCTTTCTTAAAGGCACAAGAATTAGTCCCGAAAATGCAGCTTCTTCTTTTTAAAAACATTTTTAGGTGTGGGCCCGGTGGCAAGCCGCGGTGAGCCCCGCACTGATTACAGACCTGTGAATCCCTGTCAAGAAGAAGCAAGGGGTGGGGGGAAAGAGAAGGGGGCGGCACCAGCCAGGTCCCCAGCACACATGCCTGCCCTCTCCCTGTGCCAACAGCTGCACCAGCGGGGGCCAGCCGGTCAGAGCCGAAGCCACATCCCAGGAAATGGCAAGCATCAGGGCTGGCCATGGTGCAGGAGGCGGTTGGGCATGGAGCTGAGTGGGCAAGGAGCACGTGCCATGCTAGCCCAAGGGCACAACCAGGTCAGGCTGATGGTTGATCAACCCACCAGCTACCCATGGATCCACATCTGGGTGACCTGCATGTGGTGAGCCATGAGCCGGGCTCAATGAATAGTGGGCCCCACCTGTGCAGCTCGGGGTCCATCACAGCACTTACACCACGCTAACACCCCTGTAGGCCATATCCACAGTGGCCAACATGTTTCCACACTCGCCCCAGCATCCTGCTCTGGTCCAGCAGCTGGCAGGCAATGGGGGCAGTGGAAACTTTGACCTCCTGCGCGTTGAGCACACTCTGGCTGCCACCACCTCCATAGGCTACCTGTACCCAGCTGAGATCCTTCCCAATTGCTGCCACCCACAAGCTCTACCCCTAGAAGTTCAGAAATTTCCCAACCTGAAGCTGGCAGTCTGATGCCCCCCAGGACTAGTGGGGTATCATGCCAAAAAATGCGCTTCCTGGAGGGCAGCAGGAAGCACTTCTAGAAAAACACATATCGGCAATCCCTAAATTGGGATCAACTTGCCTCAACCCACCCCTACCCCTATAATTCTCTATTATTACTATGGTTGTCTTTATTATTAGTTAAATAATGGCAGCCCCGCCAGAAAAAAAA